AACCATTCTATGATTCTATGACTGCCTAAAAGGAGGAGTTTCTGTTATTAGCTCCTCTGAAAACCTTGCAAAAAAGGAAAAAAAGATGTACCAGACTCTTCCTTCATATCTTCTTGTACTACCTGAATAAACCTGTTCTGGCTACATGATCCTTCCAAGCACCAGATCAGTAGACAGCCCAGCATACTTGGACAATTTTTGAAAGTCTCAGGCAGTGGATGAGATCTGAATCCAGTTAAACGACTTTAGAGAGGCAAGATTTCACTAACGGTGTCTCTTTTTTACAAAAAAATCCATAGGCAAACCACACTTGAAGAAAACAGTTCTTTATCTCACCGTGTGTGTTTATCCATGCTTGTCTTTAACGGTGTGAACTGTCACCCCCTGCCTACTGTAGAAACCATTCTGCAGTAAACCAGAGACTTCCCCTATTAGCCCCCCCTTTCCCTAGCACACACCCCTGTAACATGCAGACCCTCTCATTGAGGGGAATGCCTGTGTGAGAGAAATACAAAAGCACATTAGAAGAGAGGAAGGTCATAAAAATCCAAACACCTCAAACCACACTACACTGAGAGACAACTGTATGACTCAGAGACTAAAGAATACTGTCTACCCCCTCTTTTCCCCCAAACCTCCCTGAGTGCGAGGTGAACTTTGTCAACAACTTGACTGGCATTTCGCATTTCGTCAACAGCTCCCATCGTACTCTGTTTCTCTGGTGTGGTGAAGAGTTCACGCATTCCAAGTGCCCTTAGTAGTAGCATTTTTAAGTGCCATTTCTTTATCACTGGTCTCATGCATACAGTGGCCCCTTTCACCACACAGGCATTCCCCAGTAACTACCAGACCTGTAGGTGACCCCATCATGCCAATGCTTTCACCATTATCAAAAACATCAGGCTAATTCTGGAATCACAACTGTTGGTACTAATACAGTGCAAGAGGTGCCCACAGGAATGTGCCTGGGGCAAAGCTGAAGGTTGACCACATTGTTCAAGTGACTTAAATTGCAGATACACCACAGGTATCTGCTGAGTGGTTTATATGCCTTGATCTCAAATTTTAAGCATGTAAACTAGAGCTGAAGTGAATTACTTATACACAACAGGCCATAAATGGAACTGTGGAAGGAAGAGTACAGTGAACTGACTTTTGCAGTTTTCCTGGTTCACAGAAGAAAGCCAAGAAGCAGAATCAATCTCCCAGTTTGGCAAAAGAATCTCTCCAGAAGATGGAGTGATCCAGTGATGGACACCTGTTCTTCTTGGCAGAGAAACTGGCACTCTGCTAGTTACAACCTAGTAATCCACAACTAGCATTTGATATCCAGATTCTTTCTCCCCTTGTCCTTTAAAACATTCAGTTAGCCCATAAGCAAGCCAGAGAGGACCAAAATCTGTGTCAGTGTCACACACACTGGTTACAGGAGAAATAGGAAAAGGAAAAATGATCCTTTTATTCTGGATAATTTAGCAACAGTAGGAATGCGGGAAAAAAAAAATCATGGAATCACAGAATGGTTTGGGTTGGAAGGGACCTTAAAGATCATCTAGTTCCAACCCTCCTGCCATGGAATTTTTTTATACTCAGACTAGCAAGCACCCTTTTTCCCCACTGGCACTTGGCTCAATTAATCAGAGTTCAGGATGTAAGTTACTAGCCAGACAAAAATAAAGCTAGTAGTTGGAGGTGAACTGAGCACTCCGTTTCACAAGGGCAAGCACTCAGCTGGCATTTGAGCTAAATGTGATCACAGTTAATAAGAGCGTAACACATGTATATACAAGAGTACATTTAAATAGTGATGACCTGCAGGTTTGTTACAAAGATTAAAAAAACCCAGAACTTTACAGAGAGGGAGACTCTAAAGAACTTCTAATAGTCAGAAGGACAAGACAAGGAGATGATCCAGGACTACGGACAGCAAAAAAGACATTTAAAAATATACTAACCTTAATTAACCTGTGTGATTTATTTGACTTAGATGGAAACAATAGTTTAATGTGACCATGGCTTCCTTGCCCACTAGTGATTGCCACAAGATGACAGAAATGGACATGATTGGTCAGTACAATCAGACAGGGGCAAATGAGCCCTGAAAGACAGCTTTTATGAAACAAGAACAAGTCACTTTTGCTTACAATGACACACCTAAGCAGGCAGTGAAGTAGAAGGCAATAGAATACACTATGTTAGAAAGCAACTAACTTTAGGCCAGATAGGCCTAAAAACATGCCCAGTCTTCTGGGGAACATGGGTGAACTCCCTGAAATCTCTCATCCATTCAGGAATGACGCACAGCCCTGTGCACACTGTGTTTAAAAACCGAAGAGCTCTGGTCCTGTGAGCAAATTACCTTTTTGCTAAGCTGTTGATTTTCCTTTTCCAGTTCATCAAACTTCAGGCTGCTCTCTCTGGAGGTCAAGGAGGCATCTCGCAGTTCTTGGATTGTGTTCTGCAAGCTCTGATTATCCTTCTCTAGCTTTAGTATGCGACTCGAAGCACATTCATTCAACTCAAACACAAAGGACTTTCTGGCTGTTGAAACATGAGAATCAGAAGGTGGCACTAACCAATTCATAAATACTTCCTTGCCTAGGTCTTTAAGATTCACTTGTATGAAGGTAATTGCAGTCAGATCCTTATCATTTCAGCTTCACTGCTAAGTAAACATTGTTAAAAACAGAACCCATTTTCACAGATAATAACTAAGACATTTAATAAACAGGGAAGTATCTGTACAGATAACCATCTTAAAAGTTACTTTCCTAACTCTTCTTAAAGTTGCTTTAGCCAACATGTTAGTAGCATGTTTAATGTTAGTAGCAAAATACACTTTGATACTCTTCATCAGAGGAAATAAACCGAGGCAGAAAAACCACTGCAAAGAGTTTGCTGAAACAGCAAGATGGTGCACTTCCAAAAGCTAGTCAAAATTTTGGAATTTGATCATATTTAGTCACGGAAAAAATTCTTTAAAAAGTGAGTTCCAGTGCTTATCTTCACGGGTACTTCAGGAAGAATATACTGAATCAGGGAGGGTATTTTACTACCAGGTACCCAAGCAGAAGACATCAAGCAGAACGCTGATCATAGAGAAGTGTCTGAAGTTGAAATCTCAGAACTAAAAAAATTTATGCAAGCTTTACAACAGAGATGTTATTTTACTCTGCTTGTAGATCAAAAGTCTCACTATGTCTCAGCGTTAAATCGCAGCACCAAAACCTCACTGTCCTGTTCATTTCTCTGCTCAGCACCTGAATAACTGTAAGAGCAACCTTCTGTTTCACATGGAGTAATTGCTACCTTTCACCTCAAAACGCCATAAGAAATTGGCTTCCACATTGTCTGTAAGCCTCAAAATCATTCACCCCTGCTAAATAATCAGTGTTATTACATACAGCACACTGAGCACTTTAGAACTGACAAGTTTCTGAGAATGGCAAAATCCCATTTGTCTCTTATGGAGCACCACCTGGAGAGTTTTGGTCAAATTAAGACTTAAATAATAAAAATTAACGAAATACTCCAGTTAAGTTCTGTCCTGAAGCAAAGCCCATCTAAATGACTTTTCCCCATGCTTACTTTTTTAATGATTCTGAATAAAGTATTTCAAACTAGCAGGCAAAATCTGCTGTCTGCCATCCTGGCAGACTCAGCTTGAAAACCAGAAACAGGAGGTTTTCCAAAAGAGCTTTGCAGACAGAATCCATTTGTACAAACAAGCTTCATTCAGAACAGCAACACGCACTGAAATGGCTTAAATAGAATTATTGTGAAAGTAGGACAGAACCTCTGTGAAAGAATTTGAAGTTTCAAAGTTTAATGTTCTTAGCTTTTTTTAAAATCAAGCTTTCTTCACTAGAGTTTTTTTCCTACTGAATATAAAAGATTACTGATGTTCTCAGTTCCTCTCTTTTTCTTCAGTTAATCAGAGAGGTTCTGGAGCTACAGTGCTGAAACACTAAGCATCAGTGCAGTGAAGGAATCTCATTTTTTCTTTTGTTTTTTAAACCACTCTGTTGAGCAAGCTTTGAAAGTTGTGTTTGACAGAGATGAATAAATAAGTAGATAATAGAAAAATAAATAATAAATATAAAAATAAATCTAGCATCCTTCCTTCTATTACATGACTAGTGAACCCAAATCTGGAATGGGGCAAAATGCTATTTTAAAAGCCAGAAAATTAGATATTTGTGTTTTCCTGAAATACTACTCAACAAAATTTTTAAGTTTTTTGAGAGCTGTAGGGCTTTTTTCCCCACTAATATAATAAGCAATATCCTTGAATTGCACATAAGGAGGAAGAATGCCACTCATTTCTCAGGCTAAGGTAAACCCGCTTTGCAAAATTATTAGTTTTAGGTAACGATTAATTAGCTATTAGTAAAGAGAGCTCAGATCCTAGAAAGCAAGTAGACTTGAGTACTGGTGTCAGGTACAAATTCAGTTATATTTACAAAACACAGCTCTTCTAGACAGCTTTACACTGAACATCTGCTTGCTCTGATTTACTCCTCTGTCTTCAAGGTAAACTGTTCCTGGTACCCAACGCCAAACATGCAAGTCAGCAGAATCAGGTGAGTAATCAATAAAAGCAGCACTAAGCTGCACAAAATAGCTTATATTTCCAAAGTTCCATTTAGCACTGTTGTTTAGGCTGGTATTACAGACAGAATGAATGTTAGACACAGAGACCTGAACAGTGAAGGAAGTATTAGTTGTGTTTGTGATAGTTATGGATATTAAATCAACCACTCAAAAAAAAACCAACAGCCAGTTATTTTAACTGTATGCATCTTTCACTATCTAGTAAAAATAAATGACTTCAGCTTACACTACTTCCTGGGACTTAAAGACCAGCTAATTGTACTAAAGAATACTAAAGATCACAGACTCCTCCCAACCATTCAGTTAGAAATATCCAGTGTTTGGTGTGTCATTTGTGCTGTGTCATTTACAAAGCTTTCTTTTTTTAAAATTTTGTCTTTTTACTTAAAAGTCACTCTCTCAGCGACAAACAAAATAAAATGAAAACATTTTAATGCTTTCAAAAGCGAAAGACACTAGAAAGTTTTTCAGAACTTCTAAAAGGTGTTCTAAGTGCAAAGTTGAGTGGCCGAATGAGGAAAAACCTCCAAGCTTGGACTCACCTTCGTTCCTGTCTCATTCGACCAACCAACCGTCTACTCTGAAAGACGCTGCAAACACAACAGCTACCCCGGCTGATACTCACTATCTGCAAGATCTGTACTTTTAGACAGCTGTTCTAGTTCCCAGCCGAGGTGTGCAGACTCATTCATGCTCTGTTTCTGTGCAATCTCCAACACCATGTTCTCCTCCAGAAGCTCTTTAATTGTCTTCTTGTCTGTGTCCCGGTCCTGTGCAAGACACACATGAATGAAATGCATATCCTGCTTACCCATAAGATCGTTCTGTCACTTGAACCGCTACAAGCACAACACATGTTGAGGGTAGAAGAAGTTTCTCAATACTGTGTGCTTTTATACTAAAATACATGTACGGCAGTAAATGTTTGCTGTGGGCTACCATAGGTGCCACAGAACACAGAGCAGAGACACCCAACTGGCCCGGCTCAGTCAGCTCAGGTCCGTGATACACTTGGAGGGAGAGTGACTGGAGTGAGAAAATACTGGTTGATGACAAGACAAGTACAAGCCAGGGCTAGTAAGGCAGGCTGGATTCAAGCTGTCTCCAGAGCTAAGCTCTTCAAAAACATGTAGCATCATGCACTGGCATACTGGAGACTGCAGATATAACCCTGAATTCTACTGAGCTTCTTCAACTCTTCATGTCAAATTTGGATCCAATAGTATGGATCAGCAAGTAACATCTGCCTCCTAATTTAGTATTTAAATATCCAGAAAACAGACCTGGAGAATGAATCTACCATGGTTTCTTGGGATATTTTCATATAATCATGGTTTGGGTTGGAAGGGACCTTAAGGACCATCTAGTTCCAACCCCTATGCCATGGGCAGGGACACCTTCCACTAGACCAGGTTGCTCAAAGCCTCATCCAGCCTGGCCTTGAACACTTCCAGGGATGGGGCATCCACAGCTTCTCTGGGCAACCTGTTCCAGTGCCTCACCACCCTCCTCGTGAAGAATCTTCCCGATATCCAATCTAAATCTCCCCACTATCAGTTTAAACCCGTTACCCCTTGTCCTGTCACTACAGGCCCTTGTAAAAAGTCCCCCCCAGCTTCCTTGTAGCCCCTTCAGGTACTGGAAGGCTGCAATAAGGTCTCCCTGGAGCCTTCTCTTCTCCAGGCTGAACAAGCCCAACTGTTCCAGCCTTTCATCATAGGAGAGGTGCTCCAGGCCTCTGGTTTTGGCCGTCTGCATTTGTGGGAGCTGAAGTGGTGCCTCAGAGGGTCCGAAATTTTGAGAAAACTTTACCCAAAAATTCACAAAGTCACCCAGAAAAGCATAATTCAAAAGTCACCAGCCACTTTGGAAAAGCTGGAGCATGACAGGACCCTTATAATGCCCTGAATCAGTCACTAAACCGAACTCCACACAGCACACACAACTTCTTTGTTTCCAACAGACCCAGCTGGAAATCCTGTACGCTTAAACCCACAAGAATTCAAACCCCAGTGGGATAAGAGGAGGGCTGTTCAGTAAAATACAGGGGATGAAATGTCAGTGTCATCTTGTCAGTGAAGCAATAAGCCATGTCTCTGATTTACAGAGAGTTAGATTTTTGAATTTTCTGTCTTTCACAGAGGTTTTGTTTCCAACAAGAAAGGTAATTTACTACAACAGATCTCATTTCCTTTATTTAAGAGGTTTCTACTTAACTGACAGATTTTAACATCTCCATTATCAGTACACATGAAAGCAACCTGCATTTTAAAACTGTGATATAATTTCTTGCATAAAATTAATCAGTCTCACACAAAGTAGCACTGTCAATATTAACACTCTTAACATTATAATATTTCAAGAATTCATGTACACGAAGTTCAAACTAAAGACATCTTTAAAAGTACTGTTGATTTATTTGCCTGTCTCCACTGGTTTCTGTGACATGGATCTGTGACCTAGCATAAACCCAGAAATTTAAAAGATTAGCATAAAGAAAAAGAGAGGGCATACCAGCTCTACATCATGAAGTTTGGATTTCAACTGCAAATTTTCCTTCTCTAATTCATGCAGTTTGTCACCACGAGCTCTTGCCACTGTTAGCTGTTCTTCTAGCATGGCCTTTGTTTCAATTAATATGATGTTGTCCTCTCTCAACTCCTGGGGAGAAGAAGCAACAACGTTAATTTCTTTACATAAACTGACTTTTCAAAGACCAAGTGACTGTCATAAACTGACCCTGCAAAACGAAAGAAATCTGACAAGTTTCTCTGTTTCATAAAAAGTTTTTACCTGATATTTTAATGGGAGATGATACAATGTTTAATTATCTGTGAGTTGTTAACGCAAGTGAAACTATTTTTTTTTCCCTAAATTTTAGAAGTTTAATGGCATTCCTTTCACTTTATATAAGGCTAGATCAAGAGGTGCACCAATGAGACTCAAGGCACAGAAGAGCAACTGTTCAATTTCAGTTCTAGTGTTATAAAATCATTTCCTTAGCCAACTAACTGTACTCCCCAGTTTGCCTAGTTTCAAAACAGATCATATTTATTTACTTTCAAGGGATATTATAGTGTATTCAAAGCACGCTGGAGTGCCTATACATCAATATATACTATGTCCATACCCCTGTTTCAGTACACTTACACGTTAATGTCTGTTTAATAAAGTTTCCCACTTTCTCATTAAGAGAATTTTAATGCACTTAAACAAGAGAAGTTGTTTTATACTTATCACTTAACACAGCCCCTGCCCCATCCCCAGTAAACACACAAGTGTTAACTGCACAAGCCACGTTGCTTATCCATTACAGTTTTTGGATCTGTTTTTACTGAGTAAAAGTTGAACTTACTATTCTGCTGCAGCCACAGCATTAGAAACGAATTAATTATACTGCACTCCAAACATTCCTTGCAAAGCAACAAAAGAAGCTCTGTGCATTCAAGTATCTTGTCTCCAGAAACATGAAATCTCTAAAGCATAAAACCTGGCCATGTATTCTCAGTCAGGTTTTAAACATACTGATTAAATTATGTCTTATTGCACATTGTAATACCTCACCGCTAGCTTTTGCTTTTGTTGATCCTCAAGTAATTCTTGAGTCAGACAGAATTTCTACAGCAGGAACATATCAGCATTTAAAAGATGAAATGGATACAGGAAGGATTTTTGCCCAGAAGAGTTACAATGGGGCAAGAAGCAGATTATTTGATTCTCTAAAGAAATTTTCTTTCTTCGCTTTCCTCCCTCCTGTCCCCAACCCTTTCCCTGCTTCAATGAAATATGTAAAAATAGAGAACGGCAGGATGAAAAGCTTGTGGCTTGACAAGTTCATTCCTGGACAACATATTCTTCAAAATGTGAAGTTTCTGCTGACATCAGTGTTCATGTCTGCTCTCACAGACCACAAACATCCAAACCAAGTAGATTCCTGAAAGATCACCAGGCATGAGAAAATCACTTTCAGTGCTTCATCAGCAATTACCTTCTCATTTCTGAGGGTAGAATCAGCTTTAAGTAGCCGCATGTGGCTCAGTCATTTAAAAAAAAAAAAAAAAAAGGAAGAAAAAACCAAAGATGATAGCTGTAAAGCACAAGTTAAGAGTGTCTGACAACAGCCACTCCCTTTGCCTTCTGATACTTCAGGAGTGCATGATTTAACTGCCTTACACAGCAAGTAATCTTAGTTGTTAGCTGCATCTTGACTGTAGATTGCATAATACGGGAAGACTAACTTCTCCAGTACCATATTGCCCTTTATCTCTCAGTGGGCCAGCTACCAACTTGCAAACCAGGAGAGGACAAATTTCCCTACTACAGTAGCATTAAAAGGACAAGATCATTAGTGCTTGTGAAGTGGTTCAACTACTGTAGTTAAAATGCCTGAGTATTCAAGTAACTAAAATAATAATACTGAAACAATTGCATAAACCCAGAATTTTGGGCCAAGTCTGATCTAACAGGGTCACTTCAGGGTGGGCAAACCAAAAAGGCTGACAATAAACAGATGACAGACAAGAGGAAGTACACAACAGTGTGCTAGGTGTCATGTAAGCTGCCAGAATGTCTGCAACAGAAGGGCAGCATGACATGAGTTTACTTTGCTAGATCATCATGCTCCATCTGGACCACAGCCCTAAGAAGTAAGGTGGCGGCTGACCTCAAAACCATGGCCTCAGAACTATCCCCCAAACTGCCTACCAAGCAGGAACTAGTTATTTTAGCATCTCACGAAGACTCAAGCTACATGCCAAGTACGTACATGCATCCAGGCTCTGGTACAAACCACTGCAGTATATAGAAGACTGAAGCACTTTCCATCGAGTGCCCAGGAGGGACAGACATGTCAGTTCAAAGCAGTTCTGGTTAAATCTTAAATTAATCACCTGGTGGAAATGCCTGTTATGGCGAGGTTAACATTGCTCACTGGTGTACCCATGTTTGAAGCTGTCTTAATATTGAAAAGTTCATATAATTTAAATAATTACTCCATGGGAGCTTTGTAGAGTTACTTCTCAGGGCCTGGAAGGTAAAAACTGTCCTAACTAAAACATGTCAGCACTAACATCTCCCCAAAGTTGCTGGGATAACACGCTTGACCTAAAATTCTGTCTAGCTACAAATCGTACTCCTCAGACAATCAGCAGGTGGTAGTCATGGGGTGGTGGTGCTTCCACTAGAATAATGGTTTATTTTTCTCTTTAATTAACAAACCCACCAACATTATTTTGTAACTGAGTTTATTTTTAGATCTACAGCAGAAATAGTTGGCTGTGGATTTTTGTTTTTTAAATACACTGAATTTACTAGGTAAGGGATTAAAAAAAACCCTTTGCTTTCTATCACTTAAATTGTGATGGCTTAATATCCAATACATGCAATTCTGCTTTTGCAATTTCTAAAATAAATTGCATGTTGTAGTTTGGTCCCATATCCCTATGCCTTGAAATAGCTTTAAGAATGTGCACTGTGTACTCACATGGTTACAATTAACTCTGGGGGTAAGTGGTTGCATAATCAGGGTGTGTTGATACTGGAAAACATTTTCAGAAACATAAAGTAGCAGTCAGATTGTTTAAATCTGAAACTAGAGAATTTTCACATGCATCCAGACCTAGTTATTAAACGGAGTTCAAATCCCTCCCTTCTGGCAGTTCAGAACCAACCCCTGCTCAGCCATGACACAGTTAAATCTTGTGACAATCAAACATTGCCTTGTACAGCTATATGAAAACATAAAAAAAGCAAAAGCATCTTTCATAACGTTCACAGAAATTCCTCCTGTCATCCCACATGGAAGTGTGATTGCAGGAGAAGAAGGAAGAATGGACAAAGCAGCCTCCCCGGCCTCAGAAAATAATCTGATCTCCTGGAGCAGCACAGGGTTCAATGAAGAGGAATGTCAGAGGGAAGCTTTATGTTGGAGAGAAGCACCTCCTTGGAGGAAACCCTGCATTAAGCCTGCTCCTCCGTATTCACAGTTATGACCCCATTAAGCCACCCCAGCAGGACGGTCTTCCAGAGTACATTCATCTCCATGTTCCTTGAACGACGGTCAAATTAAAACATCATTTCTGAACAACTTTGGCAAGACACAGAGAAGGAAAGCACCACACATGCCACAACAGTGTGTTACACTCACACAGAGAAAGACTTGCTCCTTCTGCATTCCTTCTGCAATAGCTCCTTAAAATCTCTTCCTGCGCTACTGCTGATTTGCATTATGTGTTTTCAGAAACTCCTTGTAAGCTTGCTCCCAATTCTTAAAGCTTGTCACGGTATCACACACCGAGTGCGTTCCATATTTTTTGCTCAAACTACCAAGTGTACATGTCCACTACAAGAAGGAAAAGATTTTTAAGTGCTCATTTAGTAGCTTTCTGCATTGATGCCCAAAGGTAAACCCACTTTTTCTTCTCACTTACTGATTTGGCACTGTTTATTAACAACCCTGTCAAGACCCTGTGAGCCTTAAGGTATCCCATTACCACAGCAAAGTGGCATAGGCTGTCCTTTACGCACCTACACTTCCATTGCTCTGCCTCTGTAAGATTTGTTCAGGTCTTAAGACTTAGAGCTTAGGAAGCCAGTCGCAATCCATAAATGTCCTGAGATGAATCAGCACTGTACTGCCTAGCGGTAAAAGTCTCTACCATTTTACATCCCTGCACAAATTTTACAACCTGGAATTGTATGCCAAACAGTTTTTGAGAGAATGGGAGAAACCTGAGCAGACACTGACCTGACTCCAGCTATTGATCTTTCTTTGGGAGGGGTGGAGGACTTGAGACAGCTAAGATGGAAAACTGAGGGACCACGTGAAGTTGGATACCGGCTATTACACACAGCCTTTGTGCTACTCCACAACCATCAAAGACAGAATAGTGGCCTGTGGAATCCTCTGAATGTATCAGCATGAAACCAGTAGAGTTTGACTGATGCTGCTACTGCTCAACACTCACAGTCCATGGCTGTGCCAGGACTTGATCAATGACGGAAGACGGAGTGGTGAGAATGTGAAACACCCTGGCTATTCTAGACCACAGAGAGTCCTGCAGACAGCTGGGCAATCCTGCCACATATTAGAAAAGCTCAGCCCTTACAGTGACAACTTTTGCTAGAGGCCACACTCTGGCCCAGAATTAGAAAAGTGCCATACAGATGGGAAATGTAGGGCTTCTAGGCCCGCC